CCCAGCTCTAGGAAGCTCAGACAACCAAGAAAATAAGTGCTGAAACCAAGAAGACAACAACTGATTTCTACTGTAAAAAGGAACACCTAACAATTTCAAAATTAATGTCATTCTCCTTTTAATAAACATTTTGATTGTATACCCACACTCACATCTTGTCTGGATATTAGATAGTGTTTCAAGAAATAAAGAAATGCATAACCAAAGATGGAGAAGTTGCAAGCACTGCATGCTCAACCTCAGCAACACGATGCACGTCCTGTACATAAGCCCAGGGTGAATACAGACAGAAACTGACTGACGGATGAAGAAAATGTGATTTTGTTTCCTGCAAGTTGAGTTATATGACTGCACACAGGCTCATCCGTATTTCTGGGTTTCTTAAACCTGCGACGAGGGCCGGTCCCTTGTTGCTCCTGCACTCCTAGCATGCAATGCGCACCTCGTTTTTATTTTCTATGTTTTTTATGTTTTTATGTTTCCTTACTAGAACGTGGCTCTGCACGCAGCGGGGTGCAGCGAGGGGCACCCGAGGAATTGAAACCTTCTAAGAAAATTAACAGACGGACAAGATTCACAAGCAGTAGCTGAACACAGACAAAGGGACAATCTTTGTAAGCGAGTGTTACCCTGCAGGCCTTGGTGGTCTTGTGGAAATGAAAATGTGTTCAGACGGGAGACTTCGCTGGGGAAACGAAGACCCGCTGCAGGGACTGGCGGCTGAGCAGAGACCCCCGAATGCCTCTCCCACAGGGCACGAAACCAGCAGGCAAATCCTGACATTTCTTGCACTGCGCCCCTGGCTTTTGTATAGGGGCGATTCATGCAGTGCATTTTATCATAAATAATGTTAACTTTCCTCCCAGGCAGCTGCTAATGGCAACGCCACTGCCACGATGAAGCCCCTTCCCACGATCCATGATAAAACAGAGATCCCAGATGCTGCCAAATAAGGGGCCATCCATCACATGCTCAGACTGCAACTCTACACAACCCCACGAGCGAGTCTGCCCTAGTCCTGCTGCAGTGCAAAAAGGAAGAAAATTAACCTTCCAACATATTTCCAATACTTCCTTTTTCATTTTAATCTGGACTGTGACATGAGGAGATGTAACTATGTCAACTTATGCTGGAATTTCTCTTTTCTGTTAGTCTCCAGCAGCACATTAATTATTTTTTGACAGAAATATTAGGAAAGAATGAATGTGCCCTTGAACTGTGTAAGAATGATATATTTTTATATATTCTATATCCTGCATAGTCTTTTAATTAGTGAACATATTCTCAAGTCCTGAACCAAACCATATTTTCTCATTTTATTTCGGTTTAAGACTTTGAGAAGAGAATTCATTTAGACTGCAAAGCAGAGTTTCTACAGAAATCCACAGTTCAAGCCATCTGCCTAATAATATACTCACAGCTATAAAAGATTCATTAAAAAATACTTGGGGTTCCGGGCTGTCTCCACCACACACTTCCTCGCTGCTTCAGGCAAGACATTTAACGTCTTGGCTTCCACCTCTCCACCTGTGACTAGGCATAACGACAGTCTTCTAGGAGACTTGTGAGGGTGGGTTTATTTTTTTGCCAAGCACTTTGGGCTTGAAAAGCTCAGTATGAATTGCCAAGTGCTTTCCTTTTCCTGATAAAGCTCCAAGCACCCCAAAAAGCCCCACTTCAGGAGGAGGTTTCAGCAACCAGCTCAAGGAGCTGCGGTGCGGAGCTCCGAGCAGGCCGTCCTGCCAAGGCCATGACCATCCAAGTCTACATTGACAACAGACAACATTAAATTTGCTGCAGTTTCCTGGAGAAAACCTCCAGATGAGCAAAACAGAAATGCCAAGTTGTGCTTTCTTGTCGACAAACGTTAGACTCGAAAGACTCTCCTGGGACATCCTATGGATAGATGGATCTGTGGATCTCCAGGGGACAGAAAAGCAGAATTAAGCCTTTTAATTATGGAGCTCCAAGCTTCCAGCAGCAGCAGTTCTGAGCCCCGGAGCTTGGAGCCCACGCCGGGACTGCTGCATCGACGTGATCACGGTCAAGCCGTGCCCGGCGCTGCCCTCTGCCCTGCGTGTGCCGGGCGACCCGGGACCAACTGTGGGCACGAGCATCTGTCACAGAAAGCACTTGGAATTCTGGAAAAAATGAACGCTGAGCTACCTATTGGCTTTTCCTTCCCCTTCTGAGAGTTTTCAGCTGAAACTAAAGGGAATACGGGAATATCGCTAAATAACGACGTCAGCAGTGACTGCGTCGTGAGACGAATAAAAATACAAATTAATTGAAAATGTATTTGCCTTTGGAACTCGCAAACTGTAGCAAACAGTCTATAATCTCCCACTATTTCCCCAGGCAGGACACCCCCAGGCCTTCCTTCCAAAGGTTTCGAGATCCCAACTGCAAATTACTCAAGTCAAGCACTGCTTAGTGCTCATTAATATGCATTAAAGAGTAGAGCAGGAGATGACACTTAATCAAAAGGAAACTGCAGTTCAGAGAATCAAACTCCCTGCTAAGGTTAGCAAGTCAGTCAGTTTGGAGTGAAAGTCACAGAGGAAGAATTTCACGAGGATGATGGAGAGCGACTGTCCTGCCTAATTAAGAAGAGAGTTGCATTGATAAGCCACAAATGAGTCCCTCCAAATACACAGGCTTAGGTTTGGAGCGCCGCTAATTTTGTTTTTGGAGGTGGGAGACCTGTAGGGCCGTTGTGTGACCCTGGAGACCTGCGGGGCTTCCAGGGAGGACACGATGAGCACTGACCCCATGGCCTGTTCCTCCCCACGCTCTGCTCTGCTCCCCATCCATCCCCCGTGCACCCTCGCCTGCCCCACAGCCAGGCCGCCTTCGCAGCAGGGAGACCCAGGAGTAAATACACACCCAGCATCTGTCTGCATGCGGAATTGTAGCTAGCAGAGTACAACAAATCACATCTTTCTCCTCTTGTTTTTATGCTATAAAAATGGCAGGATGTCTGGGGTCTTGGAAATTCAACTTGGGTTTTCTGAAGTCAATGGATTTGGGATAATTTCATTCTAGTTTGGTAGAAAAACTACAGTTTCAAAACTCTGAACATGACGTGTCTTTATCTAAGGCAACGTAGACGATAGAAAATGGATCAAAGCTGGAGCAGTGACTATGCTGGAATTTAACAGAGACAACGTAATTATAAATATAATTGTGGGGAGTTCCTTGGATGCTCCAATGAGAGGTCTATAAGGAGACAGGACCAGAACTGAGCTCCTCCTGGAGATGTCACTCGCTATCGCTCTGGCTTTAGGAGACAGGGCCACTCTGATGTCACGTCACCATCCCCACCTTGGGCAGAAGGCCCAAGGCTAAGACATGAGCTGCATCCACCACGGTGACGTCCTCGCCAGCCCTGGGGACAGACCCAGCAGTCTGGCACCGCTCTGCAGAGCTC